CTCAGCCCTGTTTCCAGTACTTGCAAGGGCAGCTCTGACTGCTATGAGTCAGGTCACACCACTCTCACACCCTCAGTACTCAGACAACTGAGACCAGAAATGTTGCAAAATTACCTATAATGCCACGAAAGAAGTCTTGCACAACAAAGAGTAATCCAGCCTAAGCTAGAAAGTGCTGAAGTAGGGAAATCTTGATTGAAGTTGCATGCTGTTCTTTCACGCAGAGAAGCCTACACACAGCTGCTGGGGTTGAGTGACTGGCTGCGATGTTTATTGAATGTTTTGAATGTGCCTGCTCATGGCTGCGACCTTGCAGCTCTTAAAGCAGAGTCAGAGTGAAGTCAGCTAGGAAGAGGGAACACAACTGACAAACCACTTTCTGCACTAAGATATTCCAAAGAACTTTTTTCTTGGAAGCTCTGGTCCTCAAAGCCATAGACTGCCTCATATTTATTATAAGGTATAGAACAAATAATTTGACATTTTTATCAAATGCTTAAAAAAAATCTCTCTTGAACAATTCTCTGGGGATAGGGGATCAACAAATGTTGAACTTGGACTTAAAACCAAGATATTACTAAAGAAAAACTGTCTTGAGAAAAGAAAGATGGGGGAGGGAGAAAGATTGATTTTGGAGGGTGAAATGACAGCTATAGGCAACAAATGGGAGCTTTTCCGACATCATAGAAATCGTGTGACGAAGAAATGCTCTAGAACTTCAGGTCAAGAAACTAACTTCTGTGCTGAGTTCGTCAAAATACATACTACTAACCAAGTAACCTGAGTGAGGTAAGCCAATCACAAAAGAACACACATGGTATTCACTCACTGATTATTGGATATTAGCCCAGAACCTTGAAATGCCCAAGATGCAACTCACAGGCCACATGAAGCCCATAAAGAAGGAAGACCAAGTGGGGGTGATTCGGTCCTTCTTAGAAGGAGCAACAAATTACTCAAGGGAGCAAATATGGAGACAAAGCGAGGGACAAAAACTGAAGGAGGGGCCGTCTGAAGACCTTTCCACCTGAGTATCCATCCCATGTGCAGTCACCAAAGGTAGATGCTGATGTGGAAGTCAGGAAGTGCATGCTGATAAGAGCCTGATATGGATGTCTCCTCAGAGGTCTTCAAGAGTCTGACATATTCAGAGGCAGATGCTCACAACTAGCCATTGAACTGATCATGGGTTTCTCAATAGAGGAGTTAGAGTGAAGACTGAAGGAGCTGAAAGGATTTGCGGCACCATGAGGAGAACAATAATACCAACCAACCACAGCTCCCAGGGTCTAAACCACCAGCCTGGGAGCACTTGGGGGGGGGGGGGAATCCAGGGCTTCAGCTGAATATGTAAGAGTGGAGGGCCCTGCTGGGGATAGGTAGAAGAAGAGAACCTTGACCTCCTGAAGGCTGGATGCCCCAGGGGGTGGGAATTTTGAGGGTGGGGAGGTGGGAGTGGGGGGGAGTAGATAGAGGTTACATCCACAGAGAAGAATGAGGAGGGGTGAGGGGATTGGGGGTTCCTGGGTGGGTGGGGGATGGGGTAAGGGGACAACATAGGAAATGTAAATAAAACATCCAATAAAAAAAAACTTAAAAAAAAGTAACCTTTGTTTATTATACTTATATTTTTAAGGCAACTTAATTTCATTTTTTAAGAAGTAAATTCCTTTAAGCCCTTTGTGAATTTGCACACAAGAGACTCAGTTCTTATAGTTGAACTTGTCTGTTTGCTCATCAATGTTCATTTTGTTGATTTCTTTCCTTCCTTCCTTCCTTCCTTCCTTCCTTCCTTCCTTCCTCCTTCCCTCCTTCCCTCCCTCCCTTCTTCCCTCCCTTTTTCCTTCCTTCCTTCCTTCCTTCCTTCCTTCCTTCCTTCCTTCCTT